CCTCGGGCGTTACAGGTCACTTCGACGTTCACCTTCATGGTCCACTCCGTTTTGCCGACCTTAGCATGCTATGACCCGGGCATGACGACCCCCCGGTTGGCCCCCTGGTTGGCTAAAAATCCGCGCGCCACGCGCCCCCTCGAATTCGGTCGCGAACAGCAGTTCGTGATCAATCCCAACGGCATCCCCGAGCTCTGCGAGGAGCTGAAGGCCTGCCCGGCGCACAAGCCGACGCCGCTGTACGAGCTGCCGGCCCTCGCGGCGCGGCTGGGCGTGGGCGAGATCCGGGTCAAGGACGAGAGCCAGCGCTTCGGCTTCGGCGCCTTCAAGGCGCTCGGCGGCGTGATCGCCGTCGCCAACGTGCTGAGCAGCGCGGTCGGCGACGCCTGTCATTCCACGCCCACCTTCGAGAGCGTGATGAAAGGCGAGCATCGTGAAATCACGGGCAAATTCGTCTTCACCGCCGCCAGTTCGGGCAACCACGGCCGGTCCGTGGCGGCCGGCGCCAAACTGTTTGGCAATCGCTGCGTGATCTTCCTGCCGAAGTTCACCAGCGCGGAGAAGGAAGCCGCGATCCGCGCGAGGGGCGCCGAGGTGATCCGGGTCGACGGCGACTACGACACCGCCGTCGCCGAATGCCGCAACCGGGCCACCGTCAACGGCTGGACGATCATCTCCGACACGTCCTGGGAAGGCTACGATTCGGTGCCGCGCAGCGTCATGCACGGCTACTGCGTGCTGGCCCACGAGGCAGCCGTCCAGCAAGTGGGCCGCGGCGCCCACCCATGTCTTCGTGCAGGCCGGCGTCGGCGGGCTGGCCGCCGCAGTGATCGGCTATCTCTGGGCGGTCTGCGACGAACGCCCGGTCTCGATCGTGGTCGAGCCCGAGAGCGCCGGATTGCTGGTTCCAGAGCAATCTTGCGGGCAAGCCGACGCTGGCCAGCGGCAATGCCGACACGGTGATGGGCGGCCTCGCCTGCCGCGAGATCTCGCCCGTGACCTGGCCGATCATCGGCGAGGCGGCCGACTGGTTCATGACCATCCGGGAAGACGAGGTGCTGCCGGCC